TTTTCGTTGTGACATGTGAGTGGGGACATATATGTTAGAATCACTTGTGGCATTTTCTCTATCTTAACCCTTGTCTTTCTAGACAGTTCCACTTTAGGGGATTATAGCTCCATGACTACTTTTGCTGCTGGATATATCTCATGTCTCCCAGGCTCAAAATTATGGTTTTAATTAAAATTCAGTTCTTTTGTTAGAGTTTTATGTGTAATTTAAAAAGTTTTCATTTTATAAAGTGTTTAATATGTTCTGTTGCCTATTAAGAAAAAATAAAATTATAAGCCTTGTGATTAAAGTTCTTGATGGTTTGTTTTCTGACCTTTTGGACTCATCACCAACTGTGTATTTTGCTTCAAACTGTTTACACATTCTTTAGATCTCTTACACCTGTTAGTTCTGTGATTCTCAAAAGTATGGCCCCTGACCAGCAGCATCAGCATCTTCTGGAGACTAGTTAGAAATACAGACTAGCAGAAACTCAGGGAGGCAGTACAGCAGCCTGTGATTTAACAGATCCTGCGAGGGATTCTGATGCACACAGTGATTGAGAACCAGTCTTGGTTCCATCTACCTATCTGTGTCCTCCTTTCTTACCTGATTTCTAATTATCTTACGAAACTATGCCTTTCTGCAACCTTGCCCTCTCTATTTTGTGCCATGGTACTTTATCAAATCACTTTTATTTCATTTACATTACCTGCATCTGTCTTTTAAGGTGGAAGATATATCATAAAGTAGGTTTTTTTAATCAACATACAGTACCTACTTTGCTGGTAAGTAAGTGCTGGTGAATAAATGCATCTTGCATGAATGGAGGAGGAGAACTTTTAGGAGAAATAGTAGTAAGGTTGGCTGCTTCAGAGAGATCATGGAGAATAATGAAAGAAAAAAACTATTGCATTTCACAGTAAGTCAGGTGTTGTTGACCTTTGAAATGCTTGCTTCAGCAGAGTATTGGGCAAGAAGCCCAGATTTTTGGGGGCAGGATACTTCCAGCATGTCGAAGACTTGAAATTTTTGTATTGATTGTTTATCTGAACATGTATTGGACACAGAATTAAAATTCTAAGTAACCTAAGACTGATTACCTAGCCCCACTAAACCTGTGATCTCAGAATAGGTTTTTAATGAAAAGGTTACGTAAGATAACTGTGAGCCTCTGGGATGGTACCTAACATAAAATTGGTGCTTAGTTATTTCCTTTAGCTAGCCGCAACCACCATTATTTTGCATAATTGCTGTTGAGACATCATTGCTTATATATTCTTTTTAAGATAAGAAACTGTTTAGGATACTCCTCATTCCAATCATCGCAGAAATTATGAACTGCATTTGGCTTAGATGAAGCAAAATTACATGGTATCTAGCTGGAGAAGTGGCTGAAAAGGTAGTTGCATTAGTTCAGACTTTTTTTTAGCCAAGGTCTCACTTGTATAGCCCAGGCAGGCCTTGAACCTGCTGTGGATTGCAGACTGGCCTGGAACTCAGGCAATTCTCCTATCTTAGTCTCCCAAGTGCTAGAATTACAGGCATGTACCACCGTGTCCAGTTAGTTTCAAGTTACAGGATGCTACTTCAAGGAGTGGGCGACATAGTAGGAGAAAGAATGAAAGAGTGAAAGAGTGGAACTTATGTTGGTTCAGGTAACACTGAAGATTTCAGGGATGGTACCAACCTGAAGCACCACCAGATCTTCCAGATTAAACAGTATTATTAGTACTCCTCTTTTTTAGATCACCCTCCAAGCTAACTTGTATGATTTTATGTTCTCAAACATTTTTAGTAACTGCAAATTTAGAGAAAAATAAATTCCTACTAGGTCTACCAAATTCTGAATTCAGTCTGACCATCCAGTCCTTGTCATTTACTTGCCTGTTCTTGAACAAGTGTGATCAGGGGTCTAGGATATACTGTTTTTTCCTCTTCACATTGGCTTGTGTCTATTTCTAACCCTATATGCTTTAGATCAGAATTCTCCACAAACACCTAAACACGAAATTCGGCCAAAGTACAGCCTTAGTTTGCAGATATTATGACCCTGAACAGTCATTACTTATTCTTTGTTCCTCCAAGAGTACTTTTCCAAAAATTGTCCCAACTTGATGGCTCAGTATGACCCTGTAAATATATATAAAGTGGAACATTTTGATACATTTAAGAAACTTGACATTTGATGTTCATGATGAAATTTAGAAGTGATTTCTGTAAATTAATTAAATTGTTTTTCAAACCCTCATTTAGGGCTCATGTAGAAAATTGCTGCCTAAGTTTAAAGGATTTTCATTATTTAATTTTTTTTTTTTTTTGTACTGGGATTTAAACTTAGGATCTTACACTTACCAGGCAGGCACTTATGCCTCTTAGCTATATCCATTGCCCTCATTATATAGTTTTAAGGCTTTTTCATTAGTACTACTGGTACTGAATTTATTTAAATATCTAGCCTGATTTTTATCCTCCACATCAGGCCCCAAAGCTGACCAGATGTCTGTTGGGATGAAGTTTTACTGCAACACAGACATGTCCCTTAGTTACCTTGTCTGTGTATGGCTCCTTCCTGCTGTAACAGGTGAATAGCTGTGAAAGAGAATGTATGGCCCACAAACCTGAAATAGTAACTGTTGGGTCACATAGAATAAATTATTGACTGTTGCTGCGTACTGTATTTATATTTTATCATAATATTCTCACTTAATTATGACATACTTATTAAAAAGAAATAGGCAATTTCTTTATAATTCCCGTCTCTAGTGTTCCAAAAAGTATTTAAAGGAAAATATTTTTGCCTTACCTAGTTCACTTAACAATTGTTTGAAGAGTTTCCCTTTTTTTTTTTTTTTTGTTTCTATACTTGTGACTACTGTTTTGCTCTTTTTATCTTTTAAAACAATCTGTCTTTCTTAATGCATTTGGAGGCAGGAGTTACAGTTTTCCTAAGCACTTAAACACATTTGCCTCTGTGCCTGTGTACACTTAACTGTAGAGGCACAGAGAGCCAAATACCTGCATAAAAATCACTTCCCCTTTGTGCAGTGCTATCAGTGTCACATTTGTGGTGATCAGAGCAATGTTAATTTATAAAGGAGTGTTCTGTGAGATTCAAGAGAGTTGCTGAAGGGAAGCAGAGGAGAAGCAGGTTTTCCCTAATTTATCACTGGATTCTGTAAGTAGATTGGGCGATTTTATTGGAAGGCTGTGGAGTTAAACTGTACTTAAAGAACAAGGATAATAATACCCCTTTTCTGCTTTTTCTTCAGCCTAAATGCCCTGTGGAGTGAGAGCAGACTAAAGTCTCTAGGCTTGTGAATCCCTTATCTTTCCCAAACGTTAAATTAATTTTTAAAGCTATTTATTCAAAGTTGACTTAACCACTAGAATAGGAAAGATCAGACAAATCAGCTGCAAGAAATGAAGTATGAGGAAACCCGAACTCTTTGACAAAGTATTCCTGGGAGTAAATGTGTTGAATGAAGCCAGCGGGTAAATGATAAGGGCCTTTACACTGTGGATATAAGAAAGCAATTTATCAAGAGTACATGAACTCTCTAGTGACCACAAGTCAGGAGGAAACCAGAGTGAAGGAGGAGCCCTGAAAAAATGCATTAAAAATACTAAAAAATCTGTGTGCATGCACTTTTGAATCCTTTAGTTATTATGTAGAAATAAAAGTATGTTAAAGTAAGAGTTTCTCAGTTTGCACATGGATTGTAGCTCATACTGTTTGGGGATAAGATGTTATGAGGAATCCTTGAGAGGCTATATAGTGGCTTAGAATTTACAAGAATTTTGGGTATTCTTGGATGTGGTTATGATTTGAGCCAGGATGTTTCCTGATATTCATTTGCCCTCCTCAGAGCTTACTTGAATATATTGTAGGTTTATGTGTTTATCCCTTTCTTTTTCAGTCTTTAAAAGAGCATATGTGTAGAATTGTGACAGTTAATTGTAATGTTGTTAGTGTTCTGTTAAGGAGTTGGATCTCATCATCTCATCAATCTGGGCAGCATCTCTTTAAATCCTTAGCTGAGGCAGTATATAGACTTACTAATATGTTCCCAATAACTCACATATAGATGCGAGCTAGAATTTATGATCTCATCTTGAGGCATTTAGTTCTAGGATTTAAATACTGTTTCTCAGGGTTGACGAAAAAGAGTCCAGTTGTTGAAATAGTTTCTTTTAAAGTCTTTAAAAACAGCCATCCTTCGTTTCCTCCACTGAGATAATAGTTGAAATAGGTAGAAAAATCAAAGTTTGATTTTAGTGATTTGTTTTCATTTTCTTTTGATGGTCTTGTCAGTTTTTAACAGTGACTAATTATAAGTGGAATTTGTTTTTCCCTCCTGAACAACTTCTAAGAATATGCCAGTGAAGACAAAACTATGCAATATGTAAATAAGTGAAAAATTGGGAAGAAAACTAAGCTTTTAGATACTTCCCCTTACCTAATATGAGTTATATTTCTAGCTCACCACTATAGGTTGTTTCCCTCTGAGTTAGGCCTTTTACCAATGCAGTCTAAGAATGCAAAGGTGTTTTAACAGGTGAATTGTATTTGAAAAATATGATTATTTGATACTGGTTGAGTTTCTTCTTGCACCCTGAGTTAGAAATGGCAAGGGTTTTTTGTTCCTGTTGTCATTTGCTTTTTTTTCTTTTTTTTTTTAATTAGAAGACCAAGGGACTTTCTGGTACTGTGAACTCAGCTGTAGTAGTTCAATTAGCAAATTAGTCCAGTTTTTGAAGCTAGCTACCGTCATCTAAAAACATTTTTATTGATTGTCTTTAGTTGTATGATAAGCCCTAAATTACAGAGAGAAGAGGTGGGGAGAACAAAAGAAAGAAAAACAGAAAGGATCTTGTTTAAACATCTGTGACGCTATGATCTGTTTTAGAAATGCAGTCCTGCTAAATGTCCAGTAATATTTCCAATCTCTCTGACTGTCTTTTCTCTTTCTTTTATTCCCACCCCCATCCTTGAAACCTTTGTGGGACATCCACAGCCTTGGACAAGCTCAGCACGCAGCACCTGTACCATCCCACCCAAGTGGAAATTGTGCAGTCCAACGTGGTGTTTGACATCAGCAGCCTGATGCTTTATGGGACTCAGGCAGTGCCTGTGCGGCTAAAGATCCTGCTGGACCGGCTCTTCAGTGTTCTGAAGCAAGAGGAAGTGCTGCACATACTGCACGGCCTTGGCTGGACCCTGCGGGACTACGTCCGAGGATACATTCTTCAGGTAGGGCAGGGTTTGCATGCCAGCTCTCACAGGGCTGAGTAGGGCCTCGGGCACACCCATTTTCTTCCTGACATTGGCACACTCAGGCACTGATACCTTCCTCTGGTTAAGGATTGGGAAGAAAAACAACACAGCAAGCTGCTGTCGAGTCTTGGTGGTGATGTGCATTAGAAAGGGAAAAGTAGCCTGTTTACTAGCTTAATTTGATCTATACATGTTGAATTCAACTCTTTTTTCCTTGCAGAGTGGGTTTGTTTCCTTTACAAGTTAGTAATGTAGCTCTGTTAATAAGGAGTGTTCTTTGAGGTGAATAATAAGTGTGTGAAAGTTGGAGATTACACTCCAACTGTGTGCTCTTTCTCACACTCAATTATAAACATGGCGTTTTCCTTTGTTGTCTGTGTACCTTCACTACTTAGTATATATTTACCTATATCAAAGGAGAATTGTAAGCTATATAAACTCTCTCCTTGTATAATGAGTAAAATATTACCTTGTAGCTGTCAGAGGTTCCATTCTGAAGTATACAGACATGGTTTTATAGGCTTGGGCTTCACAGTGACTATTTCAGCTTGAAGCCCCTTCTTTACGTCAGCGAAGCTTCTGATCCTTAAGGCCTTCAGGCTTACTGTGGAGGCCCATGGCCTTCACCCTGCTCCCAACCTTTCTCTCTCTCTCTTTTTTTTTAGTATGTCATGGGTAATTGTAAATTTATACTCTGTCAGTTTACACTTTACCTCTTAAATGTTCTTGTGGCCATCTGTCTTCCTTTAGCCCCAGAGGTATAAATGTTGAGAAAAGCATGTTGGGGGACCCTGGGATCCAAAAGCAGTAGCCTGAATGATGAAATACTGCCTCCTGTGTTAAGGGAGATCTGAGTTCAAGAAGGTAGTTTTTGAAGTGGTTTTTGAAATTTCTAATGGGAACGGAGGAGAATTGACCCCTCCAGAATAAGTTTTGGCTCCTCCTTCTTTGTGTAGTGTTAGAGATAATTCTCAGTGTTGTGATCTGAGGCACACTGTGTTACGAGCAGGACCTTGACTGCTAGCTTGCTAAATGGCCAGTAGGGAGCTTTATGTCCAGCCTTGACTTTCATCTTGCGTCAGAACACACACCCTCCTGCCATTCTCTTGTGTGGTACTTACGAGTTTGGGACAGGAAAGGACAGCAGTGGAGACATGGTGAGGAGAAGCAGAGAAAGAAGAGGAAGTGGAATAACCTGGGTCCTCGCAGACTGGAATATCTTAGTTTAGTGAGAGCCCCAAAGTGGAAGGTACAGAAAATGTAGCCTTGAGCAGATGAGCTGATGGTGATGATAATAATAATCATGTATTACATTTTCATTTTGTAGAGCATGTTCACAACATTATCTCATTTGCTTCAGGATGGGGACATTTCTAGTAGGGTAATTACGCAGATAAGTCCTTCAGTAGGCAGAAGACATGAAGGGGAAAAAAGCCCAGCAAGAGGGGCCAAAATAATATAAAGCAAGGGATCAGTTTCATGGTGGCCCTGATACCTGTGAAGTACCACATCATTCCACACTTGTTTCCAAAACATAGTTAATTGTATATTTGGGACTGAGTGTTTTATTTTGTTTTTTTAACTGCATGCAAAGGGAAAAATCTCTCATAGATAATCTGAATTGGGACTGTTATGTTGGCTAATGGTACCATTCAAAATCTGCTAGTATGTCTCTCCAATTGAGTATCACATTTTTATTGTCTTCAGTATAATATCGTCTTCTTTAATCAACATATTATTTTAGCTCCACAAGTATTTTGTGCCTTAAATAATGGGGGAACATATGCATTTCATATTTCTGTCTAAACAGATAACATTATCTCATGCTGATTTGCCATGAAGACAACCCTGTGGCAGCTTACTATAGCTTTTTGATGGCCATAAACGTACAACCTGTTGGTTTTTCTGGTATGGAACTACTATCTTGCCTTGACTAGAGCTTCTCTTTTTCTTTCTTTAAAATATCATTTATGGTGGAGTACTGCGGAGCTATAAAGAAGGATAAACTCGTGGCTTTCATATGTAAATGGATGCAACTTGAGACCATACTTACAAATGAAATAAATCAGACTTGCATTTGTAAACATTGTATTGTCTCTCTAGTGTAAAAAACTGAAAGAGTAAATGAAATCCAAAATGTACAGTACATACTGTGAAAGTGAAAGGGTAAGAAACTGCTCAAAAGGAAAGAACAACTGGGATGAGCAAAGGAGAAAACTGTGTGTGTGTGTGTGTGCGCGCGCGCACGCGTATATGATAGATTATACTACTCATCTGTTAGTTTATCAACAGTTTGTGCTTTCATTCTTTGATCATTTTTATGCCTATATCTGTAATCTGAGCAACTATTTTGAAGATAACAATACACAATATTTTAACCATTGTTAATATCTTGTTTTGAAATTCTGTGTCATCATTTTTATTCTTTTTCATTTTAGACTTAAAAGAAGTTGAGAAAACATAGATATTCATCTTTCCAACATTTCAATGCATTTCTAGAAAATGTACTCCTTTAAATGTACTCTATATTTATTTTGTAGTGTGAAATCCCTGAATTTAAAGATAAAAAACTACAAAAGAAATTAAGTATGAAAGAAAAATTTAAAAAACCTCACAAACTAGCATGATAAACTATCTTACTTAGAGGTGAAATACTTTATATAAGAAATATTACCTTATAGAATGACACTTAAATTATAATTAATTTCACTAATTTAATTTACTTATTTTTTTGGTACTGGGAATCAAACTCAGAACCTTGTGCTTGCTGGGCCACCCACCTATATCCCTGGCCCTCATTAATTTAATGTAAAATTTGAAAAATATAAAATTTTAGGTACTGTTCTTCCATTCAGAATCTATAATTGATAGTTGCAGAACACTGTAGCCTTTTTTTTTTTTTTTTTTTTTAGCATTAGAGAAAGTCTGGTTTTAGTGTGTGTCTTGTTTAATTGATAGAATTGATAGGCTATAGATTTTACTTAAATGATGAGTTTTGTCATTCAGTATTTAAAATATACCTGTTCCTCCTAAAAACAGTTCTTAGGTTCAGTAACAGCAAAATGTTATAGGACTCAAAACCATTTTCAATTATATAGTGAAGAGATACTCATTTTATGAAAAAAAAGAGCTAGACTATAAAAATAAATCCTTCTCAATCTGTGTTACTTGATTGATGGCCAGTATTTTAAATATATGTACTAATGATAAGACATGCACCGATGTCTTTGAGTATAATTATATGTAACATTTTTTTACAGATGGACTATAAAATGTGCGTGTAAAAGCAGTGGAACTCTGTAATGCACTATTAGTGCACAAGTCATTTTATCTGGCTAAAACTCAATTGTCTTGTAGCCTTGAAGGCATCAATTTTAGCATTATTGCTCTCAACAACAGTATATTGAATATTATGTCAGTTAAAGGAGAATAATTATCAAGGCAAGTTAGGGTGGTTGTTAGTTAGCAGTTGGCTATAGATTGTGTTACTGGGCAAATGAAGATGTACAGTAAGTTGAACTGGTCAAGCCAGGACATTAATTTAATTTTCTCTGGGCCCAAACCTACATCCAGCTACTCTGCTTTCAGAAATAATTTCAAATATGTAAGAGTAGTAGGTATGTGATTTAATTTTGAATTTTGGGATGTGGGCAAAAAAGAAGCAGACCATTTAAAACAGTGATTCTGAGACAATCATGTATGAAGAGGTTTTTAAGAAAAAAAAAAAAAAAAGGAAGATGACAGTGATGCCACAAATTCATTTAAAAGCTCAGCATGTCAACTGAGGATCCTGTGATTTTTGCATTAAAAACTACCTTTCACTTATATAATTATCTATATAATTTATAAATTAGCCAATTGAGTGTAAAATGCATAAAAAGGACCATAATTATTTGGGTAATATCTTTCAGGTAAAAAAAAAAATCTAGTGTTCACAAAGTATTCACTCAGAATATACAGAGAAATAAGGTGAATTTTAAATATGGGAAAAGATAGAAAAACAAAAAAAGGAAAGACAATGTGCAGTTTTATTGATGCAATCTAAATATAAGTAGGCATATGATGTTTTTCTGCTACTAAAGAATAATTTTTATTACAGATCTGTCTCATGACACAAACAATAAAATTGGCAAACAAAAGCAGTGCTCTACACTTTTGTCTTTTCCTCATTTTGTCTCCCTCTTTGAGTACAAAAATGATTTTCAGTTTAGTATAGTGTTTTAAAATACTATATTTTACTGTATACTGTTTTGCAGTGTAGCATTTTTAAAACACTTGTTTAATGTAGATTTTCAGTTTTAGTGTAGTATTTTAAAAATCAATTTTTTTCATAATCTATTTTTAGTTTGAATATGTAACTAGTTTGCCTAGGGTTGTGTGCTGGCCTTTCTGTGGGAATCTCTTGTTTGCAAATTAAGTGCTAAGAACTGACACTGCCAGAATTCAGAGGACCAGTTCAGGCATTCTGAACAATTAACTGAGGTGTTTGCAGCCTTGTGTAAGATAGAAATAGTGATACTCAGCTCAAGTCCCTTTTGCCTTAGAATAATCACTACTATGGAAGAACATTTCTCAAAGAATAACGAGGACATTTGTCTTTGAGAACCTAAATTTAGATTTAGGAGGAACTACCTATTTGATCCTTATTTTAGAGCTTTCTAATACATGCTAGCATAATCCAGGCTCTGAGTTTTGGAGGAAGTGGCCTATGAGAGTACATAAATAGCTTTTCCCACTTTATAACTTTTACTGTTAAGCAAATGAGAAGTATTCAGTTCCTGAACAAACTCAGATCTTCCTCAGCATTAAGATATTTGTAGATAATGTTTCTTCTGCGTAAAATACCTTGTTCCACTATATCAATGGGTAATTTCTTGTCTTGCAGGTATCAGTGAAAGTCCCACTTTTTTTTTTTCTTTGTAAACAGAGAACTAGATGAGCCATGGGAGGTCTTTTTTTTTTTTTTTTTTTTTTTG